TTCTGTGCTACTAACCAGGAGCACCAGGCTTAGGTTATAGAATCTCCTTCAAACAGGGCAGGAACCACAATTAGGTAGAGGAAAGCAACTTCATGAAGTTACTCAGGGCCAAAGAGTCCTGGCCGCCCCCTGCCACCTGCATTCACAGACAGAGTGGTCATTCTTCTTGGAAAGCTCAAGCCCTGTGTTCAAGTCCTGTTCTGTGGCACAAGCATGTGTCCTCTTTTAGAGCCTCATAAATAAGTGTGGGCTGCTGGTCTTGGTGAAAAGCCCACCTACTTCCTTAAAGACCACCATAAACTACCACCTCAACACTCCCCAGGGTGGTCATTCCAGGATCTCACCCTACCCCAGTTTCCCAGCCCTTCCTGAGGTGTGGCCCTCCTGGAGAGCATCTTGGGTGCTCCTCGCAGTTCAGGCTCTGGTGTCCAGAGCCGGGCGAAAGGCACAGGGGCCAGTCTCGGTGAAACACATCAGCAAATGTCAGTGAGTGTCCTTGTACTGCTGAGTTATGTTACTTCGCTGGTCCTGTCTTCATCATCCCTTACTGTTCTCCCAATGAAACACTTGCCAAGCATTTACCAAACCCCTATTTTGTGCCATGGAGAAAAATCAAAGTAACTGTGGTCAAACAACTCATAACCAAGTGTGTGAACTAAGTACCCTCTGGATCACAGGAATCATGCAGAAAGTCCCTGGTTAACAGATGAGCTAACAAAGTGCTAACTGAATGTGGAAGGTGGGCAGATAATTCCACATGGGCCTGGTTAGCGGAAAGGCCAAGGAAGGGCTGACAAAGGATCTGGCCGGGCTTCTCCAGAGAAAGAGGGAGGGAAAGGCTTTCCAGTGAGAAGGAACAGCATGTGTAAAAAGCACGGTGTCTGGTGTCATGCGGTTGAGTTTTGCAAAAGGAATCTCATGGAGAGTCATGAGAGACAAAGTGGAGAAAGCAGTGCGAAGCCAGAGTAGGAGTTATAGATTGAATGTTTGTATCTATCCCCCCCCTTCCCCCCGCCAAATTCATGGGTTGAGACTGAATCCCCAATGATGGTGTTTGGAGGCGGGGCCTTTGGAAGGTGATTAGGTCAAGAGGGTGGTGCTCTCATCAATGGGATTAGTGTCCTTATAAAGAGACTCCAGAGAGCAAGCCTGCCCCTTCCACCACGTGTCTCTCAGATACCTGAGAGCTTTCAGCTGGCAGTGCCTTCACGGTCTGCCTTAGCTTTTATACATTGTTGGATTCAATTGGCTAATTTGGGGGGGGGGGTTTATATCTATGTTCACAAGAGATATTATTAGTCTGTTGTTTTCTTTACTTATAAATTGTGTTTGGTTTTGGTATTAGGATAATGCTGGCCTCAGATGAGTTAGGAAGTAAGCCCTCGGCTTCCATCTTCTGAAAGAGTTTGTAGAAAATTGGTATAATTTCTTCCTTAGGTGTCTGGTAGCATTCACCAGTGAACCTCTCTGGGCCTGGTGCTTTCTTCAGAGAGGGCTATTGATTATTGACTCAATTTCTTTAAAAAGAGGGGCCTGTCGGCCAATTCAGATCACTATTTCTTCTTGTGTGAATTTCAGCAGATTGTGGCTTTCAGGGAATTGGACCATTTGATAACGTAGGTTATCAAATTTGGGTGCACAGAGTTATTCATTGTATTCCCTTATTATCCTTTTAACATGCATGGGATCTGTAGTGATACCCCTTCTTTCACTTCTGTTATTTTTTTTTCCTTCTTTCACTTCTGATATTGTAATTGTGTCTTTCCTTTTTTTTTTTTTTTTTCTTAGCCTGGCTAGAGGCTCATAGATGTTACTGATCTTTTCAAAGAACCAAGCTTTTGATTTTGCTGATCTTCTCTATTGATTTCTTGTTTTCAATTTCTTGATTTCCACTCTTTAAATTATTTCTTTTTTTCTGCTTACTTTGCTCTTCTCTTTTCTAGTTTCCTAACGTGGAAGCTTAGATCATTGATTTTACGGCTTTCTTCTTTTCTAATATATGCCTTCAATGCTCTAAATTTCCTTCTAAAGAGAGCTCTTGCTGTACCTCTCAAATTTTGATAAGTCGTGTTTTTGTTTTCGTGTAGGTCAAAATATTTTAAAATTTCCTTTGAGATTTCTTCTTTGTCCCGTTAGCGGTTTAGAAGTGTGTTGTTTAATCTGCAAATATATTGGGATTTTCCAGTCATCTTTCTGTTACCTATGTCTAGTTTAATTCCACTGTGTCTGAGAGCAGACATCGTGTGACTTCTATTCTTTTCAGTTGGTTTGCGGGGGGAGGTGGGGGGGTTGCAGCCCAGAATATGGTCTATCTTGGTGAATGTTCCATGTGCGCTTGGAAAGAATATGTAATCTGCTGTTGTTGGATGATGTAGTCTATAGATGTCAACTGTATCTAGTAGTTTGGGGGTGGTGTTGTGTTTAACCATGTCCTTACTAATTTTCTGCTTGTAGATGCGTCCATTCCCTTCACTCCAGAAGCAGGGATTTTTATCTGATATTCACTGTAAGACCTGGTAGAGATCCAGGAGCTAAAACTCACAAAAATGTGGGGGTCCTGATGATTGGGTTCCCCTGGAGGGTTTTCAACTCTCAACGTTGACCACATTGAGCCCCAGCAATTCATCAATTTACAATTCAGGTTTTCCCACCCAGGCTTTGGTTCCCATGGAGGTTTCTGCTCTGGTGGGTTGTGATTCTCTGTATCATCTGTCAATCTCTCCAGTTTGGGGGAGGGGACAAGTGGTTTACTTTGTGACTTCACTTTTATAGACAGAGGAAGAGTTGTTGATGTTTCAGCTTGCCAGCTTTTTACCTGATGGTGGGAGTGATGGCTTCTAGGCTTCTCACATGATGGATCAGAAACCTTATGCTGTTTTTGAGCTGAGGCCAAGCTCTTTCCTGGTCAGCCCCCAGCCAGTGACTGAGCAGACTGGGGTCTCTAGGGCCTGGCTGTTTCGGCACAATGGGATTCTTCTGTTGTCCGGGACTTGGACCATGGTCGAAGTTCTCTCCACCTGATCCTGCTTCCTCCTGCTTTATCTTTCACAGGTATTACCCTCTGGTACCCCACTTGCATTCCTGTGTCTCAGCATCTGCCGGCCAGGGAGCCCACCTGGCGCATTTGAACGTATGATCAATACTGTTTTGGTTCCAGGAGGAGAACAGGCAAATCTATGAGCCACGGATGTGGATAATCTGATTTACGAGGTGTCGCTCACTCACCTTCAGGCTAGGCTCCACCACTCACCCTGTCACAGGTCCTCCTTTAGCTGTGGTGCTGCGAGCCACCCTACACAGCACTGCCCGTGAGTGAAGACCTCAGCACCTGGCCTTTCAGAGTCCAGGAAAAGGAGGAGTTTCTGCCTCTCTGTTAAGACTGGTGTTTGTTTGAAGACCTACCTTTTCCATCAGCACCTGACACAAATGATACTTTCACCAGAGATGGTGAACTTCTTCTGGAAGGCCTTCATGGAAACCTTGTCTTAGGTTTCCAACAGTCCTGGTGATTTTACAAGACGAAACATGGAGTCGTCATGGGGCAGTGGTGGTGGTGGGGCCCTCATGTCATCATGGAAAGCAATCACGACAGCGTAGCTGAGAGATGATGAAGGCTTGGATTATGGCAAAGGCTGTGAGAGTGGAGTGGGTGCGGGGCTGGGGGAGTGGATCAGAATGGACCAGGTTTCATCACTGAGGGGAATGAAGGGGTCACTAGTGACCATCATGAGTCTGACTTGGGGACTCGGGGCATGGGGATGTATTTACTGTGTTGAGGACCCAGGAGGAGGTCGAGTAATTTGGGGGAAGAGAGTGACTTCGGTTCAGTATCTTTTGATTCGGGGATGCCTGTGGGACATCTAAAGGAAGGCATCCCAATTGCTGCCTGACTTTTATTTTCTTTTGTTCTGCTTGCAAAATCAGAGAGAAGCCGCATCCTGTCAGGGGCTGTTGCTTTCCCTTTGGTCCCTCTGCTGGGTTTTCTCCAGCCCCTTGCCCTTAGGCAAGAGAGGAGCCAGCAGCGCAGTCTGCTGGGGGCTGCAGGGCAGGCTCTTAACACAGCAGGGCCCTTCAGATGTTCCGAAACTGACAATCCCAGGTCTACCACCTGCCAGCATTTGTTCACAGAGACACAGCATCACAAACTCTCCGGACTGGAAGGGACGTTAGAGGTCATCCATTCCAGCCTCGGGGTTGGCATTTTCAGACCGTTCTAATAATTTAAGAGTTCCTCCTCCTATTAATGTGGGAGCCTTTCTTCTGACTTCTCCTTAATATGCTGTTAAAGACACGGTCCACCTGTGCGCTTCCTTCCTCGGGAGGAGCATGCTGGGGCTCACGTTTGTGGGTCCAGCGGTAGGGATGTGCGAGGCCAGATTTGAGAACACAGTTCTTTCTGTCCTTCACACTACAGCTACGAGAATGGTCTCCATGGTTACAGCAGCTTCTCAGAGGTGCCTGGATGTTCACTTTCTCTATTCCCCTAAATGTCTAATTTATGAATAATCTGTTTAGGTAAATTGCTAGAAAGTTTCTGTATATATATGAAAATCAAGATATGTATAAATATACACACACACTCAAAACAGCAAAAAAAGTAGGCTGATAGGCATTTTGGGTACATTTTTTTCCTCCTCCTAATAACAAAAATTGGGATTGACTTTAAAAATTTCAAGTTAAACAAGATTCAATGAAAGAAACACTGCCTTCATGTTCTTCAAAGGCATGTGAGCGAGAGAGGGGTTGGAGCTAACCTAATTATGTTTTCTTTAATGTGAAATAGCTATTTGCCTGACATTCCATTTGCATCTCCCCATCACATTCAAATGGCCGGGACATTGATTTTTTTTTTTTTTTTTCTGCTAGGGCTCCCTTTGAACATGAAAGTGCTTTTTCCTATTTTTTTCCCCCCTGTGAGAGCAGTGATAAGAACAGATCGATAATTACATTGTTGGATAAAAATGAATATAAATTTTATTGAAAAACAACACCAGCAACAATGTGGGGAAAGCATACTCAACAGCCACTGGCCCACACAACTCAACACGCACATTATGAAAAGTAATCACCTCTTAAGATTTCCAGCTACTTATTCCAAATGAAATGATAGACCCCAGACAAAGTGATGTGGGATGCGGATGCACACCCGCCTCTGAACGCGCTGCTAACAGCAAAGGATGCGGCAATCCTGTTCACCTTGCGTTTGCTGGGGGCCATCTAGCGTATTTTAAGGATTAACTGGTTTGGTGAGAATTTAGTCCTTCCAGTGAGCAGAGCGTCAAATACCCAGACCACTGGGAAACCTTTTCTACTTTCCAAGTCCTTTGAGAAGAGGATTTCACAAACTTTCTTGGCAACGTGTCCCTCCTGCTTAAAAACAGGAAATAGTTCTTTATGTCTAGCCTAAATCCTTCATGCTTCAGTTACTCTATTTATTTCCTTTTAATCTCAGCAGGCGGTGAGAGGTTTGCCTCTGGTGGGACAATGTAGCATATGGGGAGCTCACAATGATCATAATCAGATTGAAACGGGCTCCAGCTGTGCTGCTGGCGCTTGGGAACCAAGCCAACCAAGCCGCACGCAAGGAGTTAAGGCAGTTAACTCCCTCACCCTCCCGGACCTCTGCACCCTGCTGCCTGGGGCCTGAGGGCCACCGTCCTAGGACTTGCGGGCCAAAGCTCGGAGTGTGATGGGTTCGGTCCTTACAATGGGGGGCACAGTAAGGAGCGCTCGCAGAGCTGTCCCTTCCAGTCTCATTCCCAGGGTTTGCATGTCAAGATGGGATTTCCCGGCAAAACACTCCCCAGTGGCACACCCCGGTGTCTTCTCACCCTGCCAGGCAGTCCCCAAGCTCGCCCCACAGCCTGTGCGCTCCGTGTGCACGCCAGGAAGCACGCAGTGAATGTGACACCAACATCGGAGTGAGCTGGAGTGAGCGTGAACTCTCGGCAGCTCGCGGACTGGGCACCAGGGAGCGCCCGTGCCATTCCACCGTCGCGCCAGGCGCCACCAGGAAACAAAGCTGGGGATTTGAATAAAAGACTTCAAAATGCAGCCCTGCGTTCCACCCTGAGCAGCATGCGTGTAAAAATTCATGAAGATTGGATTTCATTTCATGTATTTTTACTTCAGTGGAGAGAAATACAGGTGATTTCTGGCTGCGCCCACAGCTGTCTTTACAAATGGGGTGGGGTGGTTGGGGGGGCGCCTGGTTAACGCCGCAGACGGAGGAGCATGTGGTTGCTCCGCAGACACTTTGCGAGGCTGGGCCTTGTCTTGCTTCCTGGGGCAGCTCCTGTGTTGCTGGGTGGCATCCTCTGCATGCTCCAGAATGTATTCATTAGCTGTATTATTTTAAAAAAGACGCACGTTGTTCTCATCGGGACGACCCGTGGCTCTGGGTCCGGTGAGCAACATGAGTCATAGGAGGCACTTATTATTCGGATAAAACACAGCAGGTTTCTTTCAGCCCATAAAATCAAAGGTGTGAAAAAAGGCTGTTTTCAGGGCATCAGAACCCCCTCCTTGTTTCCCTGCCGTAGTGCTCAGCGGTCCCTCCTCTGGGGCCTTTGTGCTTTTTTCCAGGCACGGGTGACAACAGTGCCTGCCAAGGGGGTGTGGGACACGGGCCAGAGGAGAGCTCAGACCCCCCGGGTGTACCACCCTCGTGTTCGGCCAGGGGGGTGGGCAGCCCTATAACATGGCCCTGGGCCAGGACCACGCCGGGCGCCCGGGACCCGGGGAGAGGATGGACTGAAGCCTCCGGAGCCCGCAGCCTTAGGCAGGCCTGTTGGGGGGAGGCTGCTGCTGCCCACCCTGAGCTCTGAGATGGCAGGGGCAGGACCCCCTTGGTTCCCCCCAACCCCGGCATCTAGCACAGAGCCCCGTGCTTATTAAGTGCCCCGTGAACATTTGCTGAATACACAAATGTGAGAATGAAGGCAGAGGAGGCGTGAGCAGCGGCTGGCCTGGCTGTCGCGGAGCCTGAGGACATTTAGAACAGCAGTGGGGGAGGGGGACGCGGGCAGTGTCCCGCTCTCAGGTGAGGGGCTGAGCCGGGGCGCCAGGGGGCAGGGAGCACCTGCAGGGGCTCCGGGTGCTGCGGGGTGCTGCGGGGTGCTGCGGTGGCCACGCGGGGCCTCCGCCCCTTCCCTCCCGCTGCCCTCACGGGAGCCAGCCTCTCTGCCGTTGCCATGGCAACGCGGGCCTGAGGCTGCCGAGGCCGCTGGGCCCAGGCTCCTAGGGCTGGCTGGAGCGAGCGTGCACCCCGGACCCCAGGGGTCTCTCCTGTCAGAGAAAGGCGGGGAAGGAGGTGGGATAGACGAGCTCAGAGGCTCCGGGGCGGGGGCGGTCCCCCTGTGCAGGCTTCGTGCGTGGGGACCCTCGGGGGCCAGCAGAGCCCTGCTAGTTCCCGAGTCTCCTGGACACTGTGGTATTTGCCCGACTCCCTGCCTGGCCTCCCTGCTTGGGTCTTTATTTAGGGTTGTCCACAAGCCCCCACCCCAAGGGCCTAGCAGCCTCCTGAAGCTCCCCCTATGGAGGTGCAGGCCAGGGCCTGACACCCAGGCTCCGAGAGGGCCTGGAGGACCACCAGCTAGACCGAACTGGACCGAACTGCCCTGTGGGCTCGTCTGAGAGCACGGAGTCTGGGGTCTCACACCCTCAGACTCAGGTTGTGGGGCTGCTGCAGCGTCCCTCGCCCTCTGGCCCTCCACCCAGGCCACCCAAGAGTGGGCACTGGGGGCCCCCTCCCGACTTTTCTATTGCCACATCCCCAGAGTATACAGGGATTGTGGAACCTCCAGGCAGAGGCGGGCTGGCTGGCTTCCTCTTCACACCTTCTCTTTTCTAGGGCTCCTGAAGAGCAAGAGGCTGCAGGAATGCAGAGGATGGTCAGGTCTGGGAAAAATGGGTGTCCAACCTTCCCTGGGGTCGAGGAATTGGTGAGAAACACCGATGCTACTTGAAAGGGGTTCTGTGATTCAGGACGACTCAGCCTCGCAGACCGGGTCCCTGTGGGGCGTAGAGGAGAATCCTCTCACCATCACGTGCAAAGCTTTCTGCTGGGGCCATAGGCCTGCTTTCCCACATCAACCCTACAAAAACAACAACAGCATGAATACGAGAAGGGGCATCTGGGCGGTGGTGTACAGTTTACAATACCTTGGATTTACATAGCACCTTTTTCTTCTAAAGGGCCTTTGCCTCAGTCCGCTCGGCCGTTGCCACAGCTGAGCGAAGCCATCAGAACACAAACATCGCAGCTTCCACGGCGGGGCGGGGAGACTGAGGCAGAGGCCCAGAAGTGGTTTCATGCAGACTCGCTGGTGGCCGGGGCTCGCTGCACTTCCGTTGGGCCCTCCCTGGGCAGGTCTGGCCTTGGCCCTCTGGGAGGTGTGACCAGGGCACCAGGCCTCACTGGGCGTTCACTTTGTACTTCAGGATGTAGGAGTAGAAGTTGTGGTTGGCGTTCTCCAGCACCATGACATAGATTTCTTGGCAGCCGGCCGTGCTGCAGCTGCCCTCCCAGTAGCCCTCTCTATTCAGGGTCAGGGGCCACGTGTCCTGCCCCTTCACCAGGGCTTTGGCGATACCATGTAGCTTCAGTTTGAATGGGACATTCCGGTTGGCAGGAAGCACGCCCGACAGGGGCTCCAGCAACTCATTGTCCTGTCCCCAGTTGCCAAAGCTCTCGGGGAACATGGGCCAGTTCACCTTGGTGTTGGTACAGCACAGAAGGTAATTGAAGACAAAGACGTAGTTGCCCGGCTCCAGCCTCTTCTTGACGAAGATCTTGAGGGCAAACTTGCCGGCCTGGGGCAGCTGGACCTTCAGCTCCGCCCGCTTCTCTCGGTGCACCTGGAAGATGTAGCGCCGCCCGGTCTCCTCGGTGATAGGGCCTTCGTCCCCGTGCAGGGAAGCCAGGACGCTGATGCCTTCATCTACACCGAAGCTGACGGAGCAGCGGCCGTCACTGGTGTGGATGATGGGGTCGGGGTGGGAGGGCTTCACGATGCCCATCTGCTCCGAGAACCAGCTGGGGCCCACGGGCTGGTGCAGCTCAGCGGGCAGCCGGACACCGATGTCCACATAGTTGCACTTGAGTGTGTACTCCAGCACCGAGCTGTAGATGTCAGAGTTGCCTTTGGCAAAGATCTGCAGCTTGTGGTTGCCCACTGTGGGAGGGTAGATGTCCAGCTTCATCCCGTTCTTCCTGAGGCTCAGCAGCCCATGTTCCTGCTTGCCATTGAGCATAAACATGAAGAGCGTCGGGGCACAGCTCTCAATGGTGATGGTGGCCTTCCCGTTCACTGCGGAGACAGAACCAGGGTTGGAGGTGAATCCAATATGTGCTGACGTGCTGCTAAATGTTTGACAACTGGCTCACTGGGGGAACCCTGCCTCTAGCATCTGCCCATTTCCATGATGTGAATACTTTCAGCACGATGGATTTTAAGCAATCACGGTGGTATCCCAGACCTCGATGCGGGCCACCTGCGGCATACACTAAAAGGATCCCCTCCCCGCGGCAGGTGCTTCTCTGAGAGGGAGTTGAAAGCTGAGGGTCTCAAGAGAAAATCCGCCCCAGCCGTAGATGCTGGCCTCACCCTAGTGATTCTCATTAGATGAAGGTTGCACGGAGGCTTAGCCTGATTCTGGAACAGGGTAGAGGGCCCAGGGGCAAGGAGGGCCCGTGACCGGTTGGACACCCTGTGTCTCCCGGTCTTAAGTCTTGCCTCCCACCGCTCTCTGCATCTGCTCATTTGCCAGCAGCTGTCAGGTGAACACAGGACCTTACAACCTGGCTTGAATGCCATCGTGCGCTAGAGGCTGTGCTCCAGGGCCAGGACTGCCTCCTCGATCCACCCCTGCCCCAACCCCAGGACTCTCACTTAGCTGTGGCTTGGCCCGGCTCTGGAGGGCCTTTGGCATCCACTCTCCTTCTGCCTCTCCCCATGCCCACCAGTTTTGTGATCTTCCTCTGTCCTGCTCACTGTTTTTCAGGGACAGGTGGTCAGTCCTCTGGTCTTGCAGCCCATGAGCATTTCCCTACCTGGTCCTCCCTGTCTCGAGGGACCACGGGCAGGGCGGGGGGGGGGGGGCAGTGGCTTCTTGCAGAGCCTCAAGCCCCTTCCTCTCGGAAGCCCCACACCTGTTCCTTGTCCCAGCAACTTCCCCAGCCCCATTCGTGTTCACAGATGAGCATGAGGGAAGGAGGCAGACTACTGCCAGAGCCATGCTCACTAGTCACCTTTCCCCAGTCTGAGGTCCAATACTCTTCTGCGGAGGCAATGCCTGGGCTCTGGGACAAGTACCTCCAAGATGTCCCCTCTAATCTGCCACAAGGACCCCGACTCCAAGCTGCTCTGCTACTGCATTCAGTGCTAACTTCCAGCCAGCCAGTGAGAATCCCACACAGGCAGCAGGAAGAGATGGGAGCTCACTGGCCATCTCCCCTCTGCTTCTTCATGGGCTTCCTCATCCGGAAACCTTGGCAGGGAACCCCTCCCCACTGCGGTCCTCTTCCACCCCATAACTCTCATCTGGCCTCTGTCCAAAGACTTCACTGACTTCCTTGGAGCAACGGGGCTGCTGGCAGGCCCTCCTGGACGCTCTCTTCTCCCCTTGCAGCCACCACGCTCTCCAGCCCAGCCTGCTGACCACCACCCCAAGCCCTCTGCTGCCCTTCCTTCCCTTTCTAGTATATTGATTGTGGGGCCCCTTGTGCTTTGGTGTTCTCTTCTTGTCTACTTTCTTTCTCCACTGCCTCCAGCCGCTATGGGACATCTACCTCCAAAGGAAAGGAGCAATAGGCTTGTTATGAGTCTCTCTTGTCTGAATCTCCCCTCTCCCCTCGCTTCCTCTTCTAAGCCAACTCAGTGGGCAGAAGCCATCTCAGCCTTCAACTGCTCATGGCCCCATCCTGTTCCATCTTGCATCTGAGTTGGCTGTGAGATCCCACGGAATTCACCTTTGAGGTGGAGTGCCACCCAGCATTTCCACAGGGCCTCCCCAGGGCCCCTGGGAAAATATCTACCTGCCAACTCCTGGGTTCACTCATGTGGGTCACCATCAGCCTGGAGACCAGTGAGAGTCCTGTCCCCTCCTGCCTAAGCTGAGTCAGGACCCACACAAGCATCCTCCCACATCCTCCAGGGCTCCATCACATCCCAGAGCCCTCACTCATGTTCTTCCCTCCACTGCTTTCCCCTAAACCTGCTAAGACCTTAGTATAATGTCTGACTGCATAGGAGTGAGGTCGAGCTCCCCCGGGAGCCCCTCTTCTAGCTCCACATCTCCTTCGGGAAGCAGCAAGCACCGTTGTAGTGAATTCTCTGTGATGTCTGTCTTCCCTGCAGGGGTGAGCACTGTGGGGAGCTGCCCTCCTCCCTCCTTTCCTGCATTCCCCAGGCCTGACGAGGGCACCTGGGCCAGCAGATTCTCTACCAAGGTGAGCTGAATGGCCCGAAGACTTGAAAGGACTGGCAACTCTGGGGACTCTGTGGGATCCTGCATCCTCCCCTGCATCCTCTCTCCCTGCACCTCCTCTCACCCCTGTGGGTGGTACTCCACGCCCCACATCCCCTGTCCTCTTCATTCCCTGCCTTTCACCCACCTGTTTCCCTCTTCTGCTTTCTCCGCATCCCTACTCTTAACGAAAGTAGCTCCAACAAAGAAATATTCTTTAAATAAGCATCATGAATATGGAATCAAATTTGAGATTACTGTATATTAAGAAACCCAGCGTTGACATTTCTGTGCCTCTTGCAAAGGCAAGTTCTTCTACTCCGTGGCATTAATTTGATGTTGGTGTGGCCTGGTCCATCCTTCCCTGTGGTTCCACAGCCCGCACCAGACAGAACAGGCTCCCCATCCGATATAAACAGAGGAAACACATTCTCAAAGACAGCAACCTCATGCTGTTATTTTAGCAGCAGGAGCCTCCAGGTATTTGTAGTTTTAAAAAAGTATTCTAGAGAGCTCCACAAACTGGTTAAGGAAGCCATTGTGAGGTGGAAGGGACAAATCAGCTGGAAGTAACTTGGGGACACCTGTGCTCCCCATGCCCCTATCACTCTACAGTGTGGGATGGGGCTCACCTGCAGGCCCACCCACAGGTGGCCTGTGTGCTCAGGCCTTCTCTCCTGGGAATACACATCCCTCCACCCCCACCCCCACCCCCAACCCACCCCCAGTAGCAGAGATGGTACCAACAGGCAGGCCTTTGCTGAAGTGGTGTGTGTGTGTGTATGTGTGTTTGCGGGTGGGTGGGGGGTAGGTACTCTGACTAGGTTGTGCTGAGCCCTGGAGCCTGTCCAGGTTATGTGCCCAGCCTTGGACCAGGCGCCAGGGCCTTGGACGTACATAAGACAAAGTCCTCTGCGGTCAGCTCTGCGAGGCTCGTGACCACAGTTCTGTACCCTCTCCCACACAGCTGGCTCCCCCTAAACCTCAGAGTGCACAACACACTTAGCTCGGTGCCTGTGGCCCCTGTGGGGACGTGGGGAGTAAAGGTCAGTCCGGGCCAGCTGTGGGGACAGCTCAGCTAGGTGTCCTGCACTTCTTACTCCCAGGGAGGTTGGCTGGAAAAGGCTGGCCTCTGCCTCCGGGAGGGAAGCAGGCAGAGTGAGCATCTGAGCTTGTGAGGGAAGGGCATGGAGGAAGGCAGGCTGCGTCTCTGGGGCCTGCCCTCGTCTAGCGGAGCTTGAGCTCAGACGTTGGAGGGCTTGCTGTGCCCGTCCAGAGCATGTCTGTCCCTGTGTGTGGTGGTGCCTGCACTCTTCCAGCTCCTGAATAAAGTGCCTCCCCCCCGCAACCTGTGTCCTGGGAGACCCACGCTGCTCTCCCACTAGCTGGTTAGACCACTGACATGGAGATCCCAGCTTGGCTGGGCCAGCAGGAGCTCTTTGCCAGGAGTTTGGGAACTCCTGTCGGGAACCTGAACTGGGGGTGGGTACAGCCCGGCCTGAGGCAGTCCTTTACTGGCTCTGGGAACTGGGAGAAACTCATCCAGCTGGGGACCCTCCAGTCCTGGCTCCCTGACAGGTTGGGCTGTAAGTGTGGCCCTCAGGGGCTAGGGAAACCCAAGGACTTCCTATGCACCCCGTTTTTGGTTTATGCTGCTGCGAGCGGGTACCTGTCCCTGCAAATGTGACCTATGGCTGGATCCTGCCCCAATGGCCTCATGGCCTTGGCTGCCGTAGTAGCATCTGCACATACGTTCTGCTTACACCAAGCTCAGGGACCCTGGCTGCACCCTGGCAGGGCGGTCCCCTGGGGGCCCAGATACCTTGAGACACAGGGAAAGCTGCTCTGTCTCTGATGCTCGCATGCTGGCACCTGCTCAGGGCTTACCTGTTTTGATCACAGAAGTCTCTGGGTGGGCACTCAGCATCCCCTTGTTGTAGAATTCACTCTTGTGATACATGTTGTTCTCAAACTGCTTCAGGGATTGAGGTGGTTTTAGCAGTTGCCAATTCTTATTGTCTGGGAAATGGTCCTCGATGAACAGTGCGGGATGGGTGAGGAAGTAGAATTCATTGTATCTAGAAGTGGGGTGGGGAGGAAGATGGTCAGTAGCCATATAGGGTGAGTAGGCCTCAGCTCTGTGGAGAAGCAGGTGGGAGCTCACAGGGGGATCCCTGGGGCCTTCTTTGGCCTAGCACATCCACAGAAGGGGTCCTGCCAACAACCTAAGGGGAAGAGGCACTATTTCCAGCCTTAACATGGGCACTGCAGATGGCTCCTCAGTGGCTGCTTCCAGAAATAGAAGCCATGGCACGATCTGAGGCCCCTTTTAAGAGAAGGCCATAGCCCACGTGGAGCTGTGTCCAGGTGGGGAACGGGCTCCCCCTACACTCAAAGCCAAAAAGAGATTTGAGGGAACAAAGGCATAACCCATGGACAAGGTCCCAGCCATCAGGGTGGAGGGACGGCAGGCAGGGAGTCTTGGGTGAGCAGCCCTCCTGTGGTCCCCAGGGCCAATGAGACACAGCTCCCTAGAGGTTAGTGATGGGGATCAGGAGAAGAACACGGAGACTCATCTGAGATGGGGAAGCTTCACTCTTAGCTTGTATTTGGCCTGTGTGCAGGACTGTCGAGATTTAAACTGCAAAAATCAGAGACAATGCTCTCATTCTTCTGGATAAAAAGGAATCTGAGCTGCTGAGAGATGTTATGATCCATGAGGAAGGTCATGGCTTTAAGGTTAAGACCACAGTTGGCCAGAGCCTTGGAGAACAGACGTGCTCCAGTGCCCTGCACCCCACCACCCTGCCTCACTGCGGCTCACAGGGACTCTGGGCACCCACAGCCCCCTTCCCACAAACTATAACCCCTTCCTCCGAGATGTGATGTGGCTGCCTTCAGTGCGGAGGAGCCCTGGTGTCTGGGGGAAACAGACACCAGGAAGAGAACTCTGGCATCCCTGCGTTACAATACGGTCAATGGGTCAAAGGCCCGGAGGAATCTTGATAGTTCCAGTAGCTTCTCAGCCCTGCCTGCCTCTCTTGTATGGCCCGTGGGCAAATAAATGCTGGGCTTTCAGCACTTGGGTAGAGGGAGCAATGGGGAGCCAGAGGAGGGATTTAGTCAGTGGAGGGTGAGGTGACAAAAAGGTCCGGGCCCTTCCTCTCGGCCTGGAGCCAGCTCATTTCAGAACCAGAGGAAGGCTGGGATGGCCGGCAGCACGCACCTGGCTCTCCCTGCCCTCCCACCTGGCCTGCCCCACCTGCTGCTTCCTTCACCTGTGTCTCCCCCATTTCCACCAACAGAACCCAGATTCATACTTACAGGAAGGTGAATTTGGAGGTAGAAGAGTCCACCAGGCCACTGCCCCAGGTGCTGTCCACCAGGTGCCACCTCCCCTCCAGGTACACGGCGTTCCAGGCGTGGTCAAACTCCCCCGAGAAGCTCTGGCCCGTCTGATAGCCAAAGCCCTTGGAGTAGCCAGGCACAGTCATGCACTGCACCCCGGCGATCCTGGCGGCAGGACAGGGGGTCTGAGAGCGGGCTCCCGCGGGGCTGCCCACTGCCTGGGACTCTGTCCATGGCCTCCCCCCCGCAGGCCTGTCTGCTGCGTGTCAGTCCCTCCCTGCCTTTCACACGGTCCCATACAGACAGCCTGAGGACTTTCATCCCCAGGGCTGGGGCGGGGAGGGAGGTACAGGGGGACGCGGGGCTGGCTGGTCCTGCTGGCACCCACTGGCTTCAGTCTCCATTGCTGGCTCCTCCTAGGGGATGGGGCAAATCACTTCTGGAACATTCTTCCCCAGACAGAACCCGCCTAAGTGTTCTCCCCGCAGCTCTCTGGGAGGACACTGGGTGCCATGGCGAGGATCACCCCGAGAACATGGAAACCAAGGAGAGAATGATGTTCTCGAAGTATCCAAGCAGCTCTAAATTGAGGAGCTAGGTCTGGGTGACACAAGTGGGGTGATGAGGGAGGGGGCTGGATAGGAGGGTTCAGGAGAAAGCTCAGCCCTAGTCTCTCCATTATGTCCTGTTTTAGGACATCCGTGTGGGGACAGCTGGGGCAGGCTGGCCAGTGTCTGCAGCCCTGACTGGGGAAGACTGGCCCATTGCTGAGATGGCTCAGGTCTGACCACCAGGGCCACCGCAGTGCAGTAAGGTAGTCTGATAACTGATGGTCCTGGCCGCAGTTTTGGAGTCCCCCATGGATGTCCCTTGAGGGGTGACACGTGGGCCAGCCAGCCTGACTTTTTTGGCCCTCTGACAGTGTGCTCCCCACTGCTTACAACAACCATGCTGGCACCACTTTCTGTGGCCTGGACAGTGAGGGATTGGTGAAGGTCACCTATGGGGACCACAGAAATCTTGGGCAAGCTCCCATGTGGGCATTTGTAGCCGAAACCCTGAGGCACAGCCCCAAGGCCAATGCAAGAGCCATGAGAGTCTTTCCATGACCAGCTGGCTCTCCTCTTCAGCAGCCCTGCCCACCACCTGGCAGTGACCAGGGTGGACCACTATCTGCCCCAGGGGATGCCCTGTGCTTGCTCCCCTGGGAGTCTTTGTGTGAATTAGAAAAAGGTGTTCCTTTTTTAAGACTCTCTCCTTCCACTTCTGGCAGATTGGCATAATAAAAACACAGTCCATGATTTCCAGGCTATTCTGGTGGCTCCTTAAATAGGGCCCCTTTGAGGATCACGCAAGCTGCCCTGCTGAGTCTGCACTCTCCTCAGATGAACCGATTCTGTACACTGGGTGTTAGCTAGGCCTGGAGGCCTCTGGGGGCCAGGGTCCTTCCATGGACCAGGTCTGCAGACGCCAGTGCTCTAAGCAACAGGGCCATGGAGCCTCTCAGGGTAATGGGGAAGATGGCTCTGCAGCCATAATAGGAACAGGGGAAATTTTCCCTATAAAAACATAGGTTTCTAAATCTTTTTTTGATTTTTTTAATTTATTTTTATTTTATTTTTTTTTTAGAGAGAGAGTGAGAGAACACGCACCTGCAAGCAAGTGGAGGGAAGGGCAGAAGGAGAGAGAGAGAGAGAGAGAGAGAGAGAGAGAGAGAGAGAATCTCAAGGAGGCTCCAGGCCCAGTGTGCGGATCAATCTCATAACCCTGAGATCATGACCTGAGCTGAAATTCAGTCAAACGCTCAACTGACTGAGCCACCCAGGTGCCCCAAAAACATATATTCAATTAACCACTAGAATGCTGGATTAAATATTGCTTATCATTTGCTGAGAGAATCCGTGAAGCAAAATGGGGGGTCTGCAAGTTTCCACACCCCACCCTGCCACGGGGGTCGCTCCACCTGCACACGACAACAGTGTCCCCCTCCCACGTCTGCCTGAACTTCCCTCCTCTGCAGGGTGCAGGCAGGGTGCAGAAGGTGCCCTTCTGCCCACAGCTTCACAGGAGGAGGTCCAGGCCTCCCAGGCTGTCTAGGACATGCCACAAGAACAGAGCAGCTAGGCCCCCTGGATTTTAGGAGCACCTGGGGACGCGGGGCAGAGAGCAAGAGGGACCGGACTGGGATGTCAGTTGTTTCTGCTGGTACAGGCCAAAACCCACTCCTGGAGCAGAAGGGCAGCCCAGAGGCAGGAAGCCAAGAAGGAGCCCCAAAGTGAGGGGTGGGGGCAGGCCTGGACGGGTGGGGAAAGAAAGTGCAGCGTGCATGCCTGGAGAGTCCCCAGTCTCCTTAGCTGCAGAGGGTGGTGAGAGGATGCTTCTGGGGGTCAGAACTGGATGCGTTTCCAGGCAGCAGAGGGGTTGGGATAAGAGTGAGGCCAGAAGGGCGGGATAGAGGAGCAGACTGGGGGGCTTCCCTGGCAGGTGGGGCTCCACCCACCCAGAGGGAGTGAGAGGAAGTATGGGGTAAGACATGCTCCTGACACGATGTTAACTGACAAAAGCTCATACAACCCGGCCATCAGCACAAGGCCCGAGTGTGTGTGTGCACGTGCACGTGGGTGCGTGGGTGTGCGTGCAGGGCGAGAGGCAGACAGAGGAGGGCGGCAGAGTGAGACAGGCGGGCTGCACCTGCTCTCCTAGTAATGCGATTATGGATGAGTGTAATTTTCTTCTTTAAACTTCTCTGTATCTCCTAAATTTTCAGTAGTGATTAGGTGTTACTTTTAGAATTGGAAAAAAGCCATAAATACTACTTGAGATTACATTCTTCAGTGAGTTATCTTCCTTTCTTGGCCAGCAAAGTCTGTGCGCATCCATTTCCAGGCGCGTGTGGAGGGACAAGTGGAGACCTGGAAACGGTTCTGGGGTAGGTGTGCTGGCTGCGGGGAGCTGTGGACTTCTGCACACGCTGCCCACTAGGCCCGCCTCCGCTCATGGCCCGCTGTGGTCTGGGACGGAAGGAGGGCCTTGCACATCCACACGGCCCGTCAGCACTGCAGTGAGACGGAGCAGGCATTGCTGTGGGCAGTGTGGCCGGCTGGAACTCGGGCTGAGTGTCCTCCCGGGAGAAGCTATGGGCCTGGCCAGTGGGCCCGGGGGTACCCTCCCACCGAGGGATGGAGTGGAGGGAGGCTCTGAGAGCCAGGTTGGGGAGCAGCAGTGAGATCCTGACCCCAAGCCCGGGAAGGGCAGAAGGAAGCAGAAGTGGGTGGCTGGAGGGGTAGTCCCTGGGCTGAGAAAGGGGATCAGGGCTCAGTCTCAGCAACATGGTCACCTCTAGGGTGACCTTGCCAGGCCCACGATGGACCAAAAGAAATGTTGGATTAAATGGTCTCTAGGGGGTGATTCTCCTATGACAAGCTGAAGGGAAGCTGGGGAGGCCATGGGGAATGCCTGGGGCAGAATAAAGATGAAAAAGGAAACTTAGCTGTGAGCTTATGCCATGCTTGACTATGACATGAGGGTATTTTACTACCTGGCAGCAATGTGCCAGATGGATTGGACAAGGAAGTCATAATGTAAAGCATTATTGTTAATAATCCATAATTCTCTCACAAAATTGTGGAACTAGTAATTCCAGCTGCTGGTTGCTAGTCAGGATGACCCACAGCCATTTCATGCCATTGAAAGATCACCACCTTTTGTGCAAAGCACTGTAACAGGTACCAGGGAATAATATCATATATCATCTCATTTCATTTAATAAATATTATAGCCTAATAAAATATTCTGGGGACGTCTGGTGGCTCAGCAGTTGAGCGTCTGCCTTTGGCTCAGGGAGTGACCCCAAGTCCCGGGATCGAGTCCCACATCGGGCTCCCTGCAGGGAGCCTGCTTCTCCCTCTGCCTATGTCTCTGCCTCTCTATGTCTCATGAATAAATAAATAAAATCTTAAAAATAAAATAAAATATTCTGAAAGGAAAATTCACTGGCTTCCCTAGATGTGCTGATAGGTACAAAGGGGCAGATATGTGAAGCATCACTAAAATGCTAGTGATACAGACCTTTAAGGAGACCCAAAGGAAGAAGAATTTGCTGGAAAGATCTAGGAGAGTATTGAAGAAGGGACAGAAAATGAGAAATGTTTCCACTTCCTAATGAGATCTGACTAGTCATGCTAGAGCCTAAAATATCATCCCAGGACATCTATCTAATAATCTCAGATTGTAGAGTCTTGGCTTTTACTTTTGATAGCTTTTAAATTGCCAACACCAGTGGTATCAATTGAGGAGTTGGTGGATCCAGTCTGTGACTATTATTTTATGCAGACATGGTCCGGGTCCTGCTGTGGGAACCGTGTAATACTGTGTTAGCCACACCACTGCCAGGCCTCAGCAGGGTGGCTGCACTGTCCGGGGTGGGCAATGAGCTCTGCAGGCATCAGGCTTTGACCATAGTGTACTCCCCCAACTCTGATCTCCTCCCAGAATACGTGAGCCATGTGGAAAATAAGAGAGGGAGGGAGGGATGTACCAATGGGAGAGGCAATGAAGTATGCTCTTTTTTTGTGTGTGTACCTTGATGAAAATATTGTGATTTTTTTCTTTTTCTTTTCTTAAAGATTTATTTATTTATTTACTTATAGTACATGAGCGAGGGGGAGGGGCAGAGGGACAAGGAGAGAGAGAGAGAATCTTAAGCAGGCTCTGTGCTGAATGTGGAGCCCAATGCGGGGCTCGATTTCACGGCCCTGAGATCATGACCTGAGCTGAAACCAAGAGTCTGCTGCTCAACAGACTGAGTCACCCAGGCGTCCCCCAAATTTTGTGATTTCTATACTGCAGCAGGACAAGTATAGCCATGTATCATGTTTCACAGTTTATTTACATAGTTGATTTCTTATAAATCTGATGGTGAAGAAATAAAAGTATTTCTTATAAATCATACGGTATTCTTGGACCACCCTTTATGGTGAGGTCAGTAACTATAACTACAGTAATTATTCTTACTCTGAGGCCCTTTTGGGGTGTGACTTCAGGGTCCTCCTCTCTGACAAGTCAAGACTCAGAGAGGGAGGCTGATTTGCCTGGGGACATATAGCCAGCCAGTGGCCAGAGCAGCACCAGGACTCAGTTGTCCAGATGCACACGGTTCAGGAGGCTTTGTATTATACTAGCACTTTTGTATGCCAAGATTCATTTTAATTTATAAATATGTGGGTGGGGTAAAATCAAAGAATGGTTTGATTTAGTGACATCATTCAGCTCTGTAAGCACTATCCTTTGATGTATCTACAAGGGCAGGGGAATTCAGATGTCCCTTTTAGAGGCTTTATATGACAAAGTCAGAGATCTGGGCATAACTTCAGGTTATCCAGGGTATCTGCCTCTCCCAGGAGGGTGAGATGGTCAGTCCCCGGCCTTTGGGGCCTTTGGAACCAACCGATGTATTGGGATCGTCTGGGACATCACGTTGAGCAGAAGCATGCCGCTGCTCTTGCTCTCTGTGACAGCAGGAGGATGGATGGAGAACAGGCTGACATCTGACTGGTGACAACCAGTCTCTCCGGCAGCAAAGTCTCAAACTGATAATAAGCTCCTGACTTTACCAAAAGTCTCTGGAAACTCTAGTAGCTGATGGTGGCTGGAGCTGTGCTAACAGAGGGAAGCGTTCTACTGGGGGCTAAGTTGGGGGCAGGAATCTGGGAAATTAAGCTTGGCCTCTCCAAGGAAGTTCAGCAGAATTGATTAAGGCCAAGGGGGATTGAGACAAAAGAAGGGACATTAATGATGGGTGATGGGAAGTCAGAAAGAAACCAGACCAGCAGTTACAAGCAACAGCACTAACAAAAAAACTCACATAGGTTACTCGGGAAAGACAATGTGGGAATGAAGGATGCTGCAAAAATATCTGAGTTCCCCACCAAATTACTTTATTCAATCAGTCTTTAATGAGGCCACTGCAAGGAGTCAGAATGGACGGACAGAAGTAATGAAGGCCGCATAGGTACTACTCTTGCTAAGAGGCTGCCCTGGCGACCGAGCCGGGATAAATCAGCAAGTGTGGATTACATGTCTTCTGTTATTAAGGACTCCGCTAATGAATTTACCAAACTTTCGGCAATTATTTGGAAGGTGGGGAATTAGGAAAGTGATGCATAGACGAGGTTACTGATTTTTAAAGCCAAAGTTAAAGGGATCCAAGGGACCGTGAGCGGTTAACCGTCTGAGCGGTAGTATAGAGTTTTTCACATGCTAACTGCCAGGTTAGAACCTAGCTTTAAATGATGTAAAATGTTGGGATGTGTTTTAATGATCAGCTGCAGGCCAGGATAGGGCCATTGTTAAGCATCTGGATTAAGCCAAAAAGCTGACAGATTCACTCAAGGCAAGTGTCAATTTTCTGAGTCGATGTGTGTCTGTAGGAAAGTTCCACAGAGCAACAGCATTCCCAGACTCAAGAAAGACAGGCAAGGTTAAAATAAAACACAATCACCCCAAATCAGGTGAGCAAACTCCAAACTGCATGTTCTCACTTAGCCCTAGCATTGCCAGCAGGCAGTACAGTCCCCATGTACAGATGAGAAAACTGAGAAGTTCCTCAGTTTGTTCCTCAGAAGGCACAAAACTAACAAGTAGTAAATCAAGGACTGGAAATTAAGGATGGGGGGACCGAGGACTCTAAAAGTCTTTCTGGCTTTGAGTCTGGCACCCTTCTATATCATGCTGGAAAGCTTATACTGGATGAAGAAGGATGTATCCTAGGATTGAAAATCCTGAGTGCTTTCAAGTTGGCCAACTAAGATGCAAATTACACTCTGAAAGATGCCAGGCACAAACAGAGCTGAAAATAGACTGAGGGTTAGCCCATTGTTTAAAGAGAGGAAGGCCCATGTCCTACAAATCTGGTAGGAATATCTTATCATTTCCTGTCATCGCGGGCCTATGGTGTGTAGGGTCTGAGATGGGCGTTCATAGGGGAAGCAGAAACAGTGAGCGCCTGAAGACACATAAAAGACATATTAGACCCACAAGACATATAAGGAAAAGTGAGCACAGGTAACATGTATGTGATAGAACAAGGTATGGAAAGGAATGTGACAAAATGTTAAGTGTTATCTCAAAGTGGTCAGAGTAACAATTTTCTTTCTGCTCCTATACATTTTATAAGTCACTTATAATTAAAAAGTATTTTTTTCCTTGATTTGGGAAAGTTATTAAATAAAAGCATAAGGCAAGACAGGAGCTTGTGAACAAGGTGTGCTGATGATATCAAGGGAGAGGAAGGTGGGGTGACCATCCTGGGGTGGTGCTGGAAGGAGCATTAGAGATAGGGGAGCAGAGTGAGCTTGAATACACGTAAGTGCGGCCAGTGGCACAGGGGGTAGGGCTGGAAGGGTGCTGGAGGTCAGATTTTGGAGGACTTTGTAGGACAGTGGAGCCTGTGGTCTTGTTCAGGAGTCTGGGCAGAGGGCCAGTGAGGATCCTGCATCCCAGAGAGGCCCCCAGGCATATTGGAGTGCCTGGGTAAGAAGCAGGGGCAGGAATGTGAAGGGTGGGAAGGACTAGCTCTGGGGGGGTGGATGGGCTGCTGAGGGGCTGGCATCCTCTGCAGGCTGCAGGCTGACCTGCCCTGGTGGCCTCAGGGACTGTGGTCTTAGGGGTGGGGTGTGTAGGTGGGATAAGTGAAGAGCGGGGAGCAAGCAGGAGGCTGGAGCAAGATGGGAACAGACACATGTCTATGCTTGGTGGTGGCATTGAGGGGTGGGAGGCCCGACAACTGGGAGTTAGACAGGAGCAGGATGTCTTGGGCTGCCTGTACAACTCCGACATGCGACAGCTGCCCCCCTGTGGACTCGTGTCTGTTGCTACACTTGGTTTAATGAATCGTCACCTGGGTCCTGGTGGGCTGACATCTGGGTGCCCGAGAAGACCCACTCCCAGAGGCCTGCAGAGATGGTGGGCAGAGCCTATCCATCTCCCTGGGAAAGACTTTTCAATGGCCTCCAGGGCTGACTGATTGATCCTGGGGAACCCAGCAGACCTTGGAGAGTGAGCATAGCAAGCTGTGGGGTCGGTGGGGCTCCCCCTGCCTGAAGTGTGTCCTGAGGTCACCTTGAACCAACAACGGTGTCTCTGTACACAAGTGGTTTCCTTACCAGCCACTCTCCTGCCGTCACCCACCCGGGCAACCTGGCCAGGGGCTCATTCCCAGAGCAATGAAAACGGAGCCCAACACCTCCAAGAGAAAAGCTGCTTCCTAGTTATTCAGCTTCTCCAACTGACAAATCTTTTCAGGTAGGAGATCATCTGTTTCCCCCGAGAGAGGGCTCCCATGCCAGGCCCAGGACAGGTTTTCACAGTCCCCTTGGCATCAGCAGCCACTGTCCTCCTGTTCTCAGACCTGCCATTCTTCTAACCTTCAGCTGCGCAGAGATCGGCGAAGGTGGAAAAAGGGCCTTTTATAACCAAATTATCTCTGTGCATTCATCTGCCATTATGTTAATGCATCGCGAAGCCCGGCAGATGGTACAAAGTCAATTATGCTGGTGTTAAAAAGGGAGAAATTGACCTTTTCAGGACTCACTTGGATTCCAGAGCAGAGTTTGCAAACTCAAGTTTCAGGCCTGGCATGTGGGCGAAGGCCCACAGTGCTTTGGAAGGGAGGAAGGGATGTGTCAAGGTGGTCAGCCTGGGACTGTGGGACCCCTCTCGTACCTGCACATCCTCTCAAAGAGTCCAGCGTAGCCATCACAATTGGTCTTCTGGGTCCGCAGGATGTCAGTGGGCTTGAAGGCCTGGCGGTCCTTCTCCTGGGCCGCCTCAATGTCGTATTCTGGAGGGCAGAGGCGTCTGTGAACAGCTAGGTCCCGGGAGGCGACCAAAGCTTATGCAGAGCAGAGGGGGTCTGTGGCCGGCAGCACTGCCCCCCAGCCCTTGGCTGTGCTTTCAGCACCACTTGGGCTGGCCTCCCTCAGGTCCCAGAGAAACCACTGTAGGCCGAGGGGAACCAGGGCCCAGCCAGGGCCAGCGCTGGGAAATGTCACCCCCTTGCACAGGTGGCTAGAGGAAGAGCGGAGCATTGGCAGAGCAGGCCTGGCTCGGTGGGCCTCTGGGGAAAGGCTGGGAGGGAAGGGGGCCGAGACAGCACTAGGGGTGGGGGCTCTGGTCTTGTCCCCACCACACAGCTCTGCCAGCAACTCCCCTGAGGCTGCTCACCCATCCCTGCTGAAGCTGCCACCTTCCAGACCTCACACTGACCCACAGGGGGCACTCTGAGCTGCTGCTAAACAGCCTGTCTGGTCTCTGGTCACTGACAGAGGCCTGGGGTCACTAAGGCCTGGGGTGAGGCCCTGAGGCAGGAATCAATCGCTGTGGCCACCGGGATGAAGGGAACATGTGGGAGGGTGGCAGGCAGTATATGGAGTCCTACCTAATGTTCTGTTTCTGCCCCCATAAGGCCGAGGCTGAGTGGAGCTGCTGGTGGTGGAAGGGGAGGAAATGGCCTCTCAGGCCCTATGTTCAGATACTCTCCCTGTGTCAGGTGAGTTCACCCTCTAAGCTGAATCCCTCACTGCTGCTTTAGAGGGCAAAGGTAAAGCCCAGTGGCAGCAGATCAGGAGAGCCCGGCTGGTTGTGGGGTCATAGGGAAAACGCTAGAAGTCCACACCACCACCGGCTGGCTCTTCCACTGACTGCAAGGGGTAGCATCCAGCATCTCCCTGGCAACCACCCACGGGGCTTGGCTTGCCCTGGCCAGACTCCCAAGGCTGTCCTGTGCAGAGCTGGGGACAGGTGCAGAGGCTCAGGTCCCCTGAGGTTGCTCTGAGTGCCTGGAGACAGGGCTGAGGTCATGGGTGTGGGAACAGGGAGCAGGGAGAGGCGAGCCCACTCTTCCTGGCACTGGTGCTTTAAGAAACCTCTTGGTGTCGCAATAACTTTCCAACAGTTATGAATCTTCTGCATTCTTCTGGAGATGACCTTCTGTCCTGTGTTCTCAGGTCTGTGCAGCAGGTTTACCAGGAAGCCAGGACTGGGGGAATGCTGCTGCCGGGTGAAGGGCCTTAGCTCTGGTCACTGGCTCTGGGCTGATGGCCACAGGAGATCCCCCCACCCAATGACCCTTTATGGAGACTGAGTTTTATGCTCCTTGGTTAGTCTTTGATTGTTCACCTAGCCTTTCTGGGAACCTTTCTCCACTGTCCATCTAACTCCATACACACTAGTGGTCAAGTGAATCCCAGAGAGGCTCCCCTAGGGACAGGGTCCTGCGGGGAGTGGCATCAAGGGAGTCCTAGAGCCAGTGGCACCACAGGTGGGCCTACCTATGTGGTGGCAGATCCAGATCCAGATCACGCGGACCCTCTCCAGGTCACTGTGGGCTTCCTGGAGCAGGTCACTCACCAGCTCGTCCAGGCCACTCTTGACTGTCACCTGGGGAATGGGAGGGGTGTACTATGTCAGGGCCTGGGTGAACTCTGGGAGCCCGGTGCCTTGCCACCTGCAGCCAGCGCTGCTTTCCCTTCAGTCAGAGAAGGAGGAGGAGAGGGCCAGGGGCACAAAGGCTAGGCTGAGAGCAACCCTTGGTTGGGGACTGGACATATCAGGTTGTGCCAACCAGCTGGGTCACTGGCCCAAGAGTCACACAGATCCTGGGGCCAGCATTGTAGATGGACATTTGGGCAGACGTAGCAGCCCCTACTCATGGTCAATACTCCCCAAAGCAATCTATGGACTAAACACAATCTCTATAAAATTCCAACAGCCTTTTTTGCAGAAATGGGAAAGGCAATCCTCTACCTCATATGAAATTAACAACAGGTCCAGAATAGTCCAAATAATTTTGTTTTTTTTAATTTTTTAATTTTTTTTATTATTTATGATAGAGAGAGAGAGAGAGAGAGAGAGAGAGAGAGAGAGAGAGAGAGAGGCAGAGACATAGGCAGAGGGAGAAGCAGGCTTCATGCACCGGGAGTCCGATGTGGGATTCGATCCCGAGTCTCCAGGATCGTGCCCCGGGCCAAAGGCAGGCGCGAAACCGCTGCGCCACCCAGGGATCCCCTAGTCCAAATAATTTTGAAAAAAGAATAAAAAAGTTGGAGGACCCATGTTTCTGGATTTCAAAACTTACTACAAAACGATAGTAATCAAAATCAAAATCAAATCAAAATGAAAATCAAAATCAAAATAAGTCAGTGCTTATGGTACTGACATAAGGATCATTTGGCCAGTGGAATGGAATTGAGAGTCTAGAAATTAACTTGTACACCCATGGCTAACTGACTTTTTTTGACAAGGATGACAAGTCTATTCAGTGGGGAAAGAATAGTCTCTTTAATAAATGGTGCTGGACAACTGGATATCCACATATAAAAGAACGAAGTTGGACCCCTACCTCATACCATATACAAAAATTAACCGGGAGCACCTGGGTGGCTCAATCTGTTAAGCATCAGACTCTTGGTTTTGGCTCAGGTCATGATCTCAGGTTTGTGAGAACCAGTCCTGCTCCACACTCAGCAGGGAGCCTGCTTGAGATTCTCTCTCTCTGCCCCTCCCCCTGCTCTCGCTCTCTTTCAAAATAAATAAATAAATCTTTAAATAAATTAACTCAAGAAGGGTCAATGGTTTAAATAAAAGAACTTAAATGCTAAAACTCTTTGAAGTAGACACAGGAGTAAATCGTCATGACCTTGGATTTGGCAACAGATTCTTCAATATGGTACCAAAAGCACAAAGTACAAAAGAAAAAATAGATTAATTGGGAGTCATGACAATAAAAAACTTCTGGGAATTGAAGGACAAAATTGAGAAAGTGAAAAGACAACTCAAAGAATGGGAGATAACATTCACAAATCATGTATCCGATAAGGGATTAATATCCAGAATATATAAAGAACTCCTAAAACTCAACAACAAAAAGACAACCCAGTTTTAAAATGGGTGAAGGAAAAAAAGTAAAAAAAAAAAATGTATGAGGGACTTGAATATACACTTCTGCAGAGATATATAAATGGCCAGTGAAAAGCTGCTCCACTTCATTAGTCACTAGGGAAATGCAAATTGAAATCACTTCACACCCACTAGGATGGCTGTAGTAAAAAAGATAGCAAGGCTGTGGAGAAATCAGAACCCTTGTGCATTGTTAGTGGAAATGTAAAATGGTGCAGTTGCTGTGGAAAACAGTTTGGCGGGTCCTCAAAAAGCTGAACAGAATTCTCATACGACCCAATAATTCCACTCCTTGGTAAATACCCAAGAGAACTGAAGACAGATACTCAGATACTTGCTCACCTGTGTTCACTGGAACATTATTCAATACACAAAAGGCAGAAACAATGCAAGTGTCCATCACACATGAACGGGTCAGCAAAAGTTGTGTGTCTCCACGACGAAATATTATTCATCCATGAAAAGCAATGAGGTTCTGACACATGCTACATCACGGATGCTAAATAAGCCAGACGCAAAGGGACACGTACTACATGATTGCACTTAAACAGAACATCGAGAGTAAGTTAAGGGAGACAGTAAGTAATGTAGAGGTTACTGGCGGGGATGCGGAGGGATTGCTTCATGGGCACAGGGCTTCTGTTTGGGGTGATTTTGGAAAGAGTGGTGATGGTTGTACAATACAGTGAATGCAAGCAATGCCACTGAGCTGTACACTTAAAATTATTAACATGGCACATTTTATGTTCTATACATTTTACCACAATTAAAAAAAAAAAAAAGGAACAAATGAGGTTTGCTGGCCGGGGCCCTAAGGAGGAGAAACAGTTGGGGTTGTAGGAAAGGCAACCCTGACCATGGTTAATCTTTCTAGAGAAGCTGGGGCAACTGGGTGCCTAATTCGTGACAGTTGCTCATGCCTTCACCAGCCCTCCCCCTAAGGTACTCCCCAAGCTCCCGGACCCCTACTGCCACTCACATCAGAACCCCAGGTGCACTGTGTGACCACAAGGAGACCTCTGGACCTTTCTTCTGTCTCCTACCCACCCAGCTGCTGTCTGCCTCCTTTTGTTCAGTGTCCAGCTCCAAACCGATGGTTCTTGTCTTTGTCTTTCTCCCAGGGCAGAGGACAGCGCCTGACACAGCAGGGCCCGCACTCCAGCCTGGCTGACTCTGACTTAACCTCATGGCTTCTGTGCCTCTGGTCCCCACCTCCTGGCTCTATCCGGGCCTGGCTGGCACCGGACACCCACTGCTCCGCGGCTGGGTCTCTGGCCTCAGCTGGGCTCCCGGCACCGCTCCCTGAGCCTGGCCAGTAGCCTGTCCTGTCCCTCCCAGCGGCCACTGCAGCGCACCCCACGCTCCTCGGACCCTGACACCGCCCCCTTCTCTCCCTTTCAGACAACCTGGCCTCAGATCAACGAGGCTCAGGCAGGACTTCCCCTTAAGGAGCTCTCCCTCCGGCGCAGCCAGCCTCTCGGCCAGCCTTCGGTCCGGGCCCGTCTTTGCAGTGCCCTTGCTCACCCGGGTCCTCACGCCTCCCTTCTAGTCCTGGTTGCCTTGTCCCCTCCTGTCTGTACCTCTTCCCCAAATCTCTTCCTCAGGGCTGTCTACACGTAGCCTCCCCTCCTCTGCCAGCTCCTGTGGGGTCTTCACTCCCTCCTCCTCCATCCCTGCGTTGCTCCTCGGCCTGCGAGAGTCGGGCTGATGCTCCAACCCCTGTCCAACTGCCCCTCTGGGGGTAGGAAGCACTTCAGTGCTGACGTAGTAGCAATGAGTCTATCCTAACCTCACTTGACCAGACTCAATAGCTCACGCTGTTGACCATCCATGCCCTCAGGGAGCTCTCCCTGCACCTTCCAGAACATTGATCCCTCCTGGTCTCGCCCTGGCCTCACGTGGCTCAGGGGCTTTTGGACCTCCTGCCCTGTCCTCCCTAAAATGACACCCACCCTCTGGCTTCAGCTCTTAGCTAAATCTGCTGGTTCCTGAATCAGTGTTTCCTGCCCAGACGTCTCCAGGCCAGATAAGGCTCTGGGCTTCGAGACCTGGCTGCCTGCTGCTCACTTCCACTGGCTATTCTGCAGCTGCTAGTGCCCACTCCCCCTAAACAAACTTGTCAGCCCCTGGGACTTGCTTCTTGTGATGAGCTGCTGTCCCACCCTCTGTCACTCAGTCCGGCAGCCTGTGAGCCACCTGCCTTCCACCTCCCTCACACACACTGGGATGGAGTCCTCCCTCTGCTGCCAGCTCAGTGTTGACCATTCCACTCCTCTCTGTTCTCAGTGTTCCCACTTAATCCTGTCAGCACAGTTGGTGGCCCCCTACTGATGACCCTGCCTCTATCGTGAATCTGGATCCATGCCCCCATCCATCTACTCATCAGTTCAACAAACAAGGTTCCTGAGTACCTACTATGTGCCAACCGTAGGGTGGTCTCTTCAGATTGCAGGTGATCTTACTGCTTACTAGCCTACAATGGCTCACTCAGACTTCAGCAATGGGTCCAGCTCTTGGGCCCTTATAATCAGACTTTCTGTGGTGAGCTCTCCCACTTGGCTCCCAGGACCCCAGTGTGTCTCTGGTGCTTCAGCTCAGGTAGCTGCCGCTCCCTAACTGCACCCCAGATGATTCTGGACCCAGAGATGTGACCCATTGGCAGCCTATATGCTCCAGGGGTGAGCATGGCTGTGGTTGCAATGGGTGCTAGCCAGCTGCATCCATGGTCCTCCCTCATCCTCTGGCTTGCTTCCATCATGGGCTGGGGGTGGCCTAGTTCAGTAGCAGCAACACCTAAGTGGACACCAGCAGGGGGGCAGGACAGGGCTGGCCAGAGGAGCCTGCAAGTGAGGCCTTTGCAGGGTGTGAGTGGCCTGGGGTGGGTGCATCAGGACTCTGGGTGGTATTGGGGAGATGGAATGGCCTTCTGTCCTGGGTAGGGGCCTGATGCCTTGGTCTTCTTTTCCCCATCCATATAATGTGAAAAGGCACTCCGGGCCATCTCTCTGAAGGCCTCCAAATGCATGTGGAGGGAAGGGGGCCTGAAGAGAGGCTTCATTACCCTGACTTGGGAAACTCTAAGTCACCATATACAGAGGGGCTCGTTCTCTTACCTGTGAGGCATAGCTGTCCAGTTTCTCAAACTGCCGCAGGTCCAGGGGCATGGATTTCAGGCTGGACCGATCCCAGGGGTAGGCTGGAAACACAAGGAGGCTCAGTCAGCTCTTGAGGCCTGCTGACCAGTGCCGCCTGGCTCAGGCCTCTCTGTCGTTTTGAGGAGCTGTGATTGCCTGACCTCCAGCATGATTCCCAGAGCCTGAAAAACCACTCCCAAGAGCTCTATTTCCTAGAAGGCTTCCTTGGTCAAATTGGTTTGTGAACTATGGCAACTCCTCTAGTTGTTTTGGAGACTCACAGGGGAGAGGAGCCTGTTTGCAGAGCCCTGGAAGTCAGCAGTAAGGAAACTGGTTTTACCTCAATTAACTCAGCAGGGCCCAGACAGATTAATGAAGGGACCCCTTCTCCTCACCATTTAGTTTTCTGCATATTTTTTGCTAACTCCTAGGAATGAGTGATCTGCAAGAAGTGTCTGGGCAATACTTCTAGTCCCTAACGGGCTCAAGAAAGGAGGGTCTGTGCCAGCGTCATGGTGCCCAGAGTGAGGGCATCTCGGGTATCAGAGGACGGTGTGCTGGAGCCAGGCCATTTGGCTTCGGTAGGGTGAGGTGGGTTTGGCACCCAGACAGGCTTCCTCTCATGCCCACAGTCAGTTGGAGACTGCAGCACCCCAAGAAAGCCAAGTGTGTTCCAGCAAAAGGCACCCCAGGTACTGTGGGGGAGGCCTCTGAGGGAAGTTGGGCCCCAGGACCACTCATCTGTGCCAGCCTTTCTCATAGGAAGCCAGGCCACAGGACAGTCCCAGTCCGCCAGGTGTGGACACCTATGCCCCGCCTGTGCCTCACCTATGCCCCACTGCCCCAGTGGTCAGACCTGCCACGATGGGCAGCAAACCCCTATCACAGCCCAAAAGGGAACCTGGGCTTTGGCAGGACCTGTCTTATTCAAGGCCAACCAAATCAGGCAAGCTGGATGGGAGGCCAGGGAGGAGGTGGGGAGGGTGGGGCCGAAGGGGTGCTGATCCCCAAACTTACTGATAACCCAATTCCCCTGAGCGGGGTGCTGGTGGAGTTCCAGGGTACGGCAGCCAGCCTGGAAAGAGTAGAGCGACCTAGGAAAGTGCCTGGTGGGGGCCACATGAAGCCTATGTCCTGGCGGGGGCCTAACCTTCAGGACCTCCACCTCCCTGGGGGTTGCTGGACTCGGCCACCAGGCCACAGGCGCATATATATCTGTGGGGCACCTGGGAGAGTGAATGAGATGGTGGATCATGTTGCAAGGTCAGTGCCAGTCTGCTCCTGGGAGGGTGCAGGGTGAGGGTCCTCCGTGGGCAAGTCTGAGAGGAGACATATAAAGCCTCTGTGCCCGGTGTGGGGGCTGCAGCTACATCTGCCCACACATCCCTCAAGGTCGGTGAGAGACCCATGCCTTGGTGTTACAGACCCAAGGCCTGTGGTGCTGGAGTGGGGAGCAGCTCCTGCACGACCCTCTCTGGGCCAGCTTTGGCTGAGAGGCAGCAGCAGCTGGTTAGGGAGCTGGCCAATTTCTGGCCACAGAGGAGCTCCCAAACTCTAGTCAGCTGTCAGAGCAGGCCACATGGGTCGCCCACACTTCCCCCCTGACCAAGGTCCCTTCCTCTTAGGAACCAGGCCTTCTTTCTTCACAACCCAATTGGTTCTGGCACATTCCTCAGGGCAGTGCTTTCTTGCTTCCTGCTGACAGTCTGCAGCGCCCCGAGAAGGCTTTGGTCTCTTTGACCTCAACCTTCTGACTGGGTCCTCACCATGTCACATGCTCTGACACATCCAGGATTGGAGGGCTGTTCCTCTCCCAAGAGGGGGCAGGGGGCAGGCAGTCTATATAAACCTTACCCTGAGGCTATGGTTGTCACTCACCAAGCAAGCATTTTCTTCCTTCATTTCTCTGCTCTTTCTACAATGACCAAGACATTTCCTGGACTGTCCCCAAACCTTCTGTGCTGTACAGTCTTACCCTGAGGCTCCCTGGAAGCCCAGCACCACTGTGGTCACTTGCCTGGTGCTGGAGCCGGGATCTCTTGTCCCTCATTACTTGGATCACTGTCAGCCCCTTTTCTGTGTAGTGTGGTAGTGTGAGCACAGCCCTTGTCCAGCCAGCCCCTAGGGACAGCAAGCTCTCCGCACCCTTTCCCTCCAAGGATTTGGGCTCCTGCCATTCTCTGACAAGGGCTAGCAGGCTGGCCTAAGTGGATATGAAGTGGACTTACATTTGACAAATTTCCGCTCAGTACAACTTGGCAAATGAGGTCTCCCCCGCCCCCATTTAGAAGAAGGATGACATTTCTAAAACGGGACCGAAAGCCTTATTACTAATTTTACCCTTTCTTGGTTCCATTTTACAATATCTGAACATTAAAAATACCCACAATGATTTATGCCTCATTAAATTTACCTTCTGAAGAGATTATATAAGATCTAAATATGATTTTGCATAAATACATTTAAAATACCAGTGGCATTAACTGAATTATTCTAATTTTAAAGCAAAACAATGGGAAGAAGTGCCAAACTCTAGCAAACCTTAGAGCCATCTGGTCTACTGAGAGGAAGCCTGAGGCCCAAGGAAGGTGAGCGAGGGACAAAAATAGGATTCGAAGCCAGGCCATCTATCACCCTATTCAGGGTTGTACCCTCTGTCCCATTCTTATTCGCATGCCTCCTACCTTACAGATGCTTGGCATTCCATTTAAAGTTAACACAGTTCTGAATTATGTTTTTAATATGTTTTCTGTAATGGGCTGCCTTATTATTGGGGTTTATGCTTTAGCTTTGGGGTCATATGGCATGTGAGCTTTTCATTACCCCGCCTGTGTCCGTGGCAGACATTGCTAATCAATCATGATACTCCTCCTCCTTGCCCTGAGCCCAGAGGTAGCCCCGGACTCTCACCGAGTCCCCAGGGAGCCATTTCCAGACCATTAGAGATTGGCCCACCAGGCTAAACCGATTCGCCATGTCACAGAACAGCCCTGGGGAAGGCCCTGCAACTTACCATGGGCATCTTTCGTTCCAGGCTGCCGGGGTCTTGTGTTTCCATTTTTATCACCTTGCAAACCTGCAATATCCCAAAGATCAGAAGTAGAGATGCTCCAGAACACAAGCACAGATGACTGTCTGCGTGGCAGTCTGGGTTTCTGACCCCTCCTCTTCACTGTCTTTCCCCAGCCTTCTTGCTCCAATATCCACCCACCATCTACTACTGCTGGAATTGCCCTGGACTTCCTCCCGATGTAAAGGAAGGCCTGGGAACCAGAGAGGGAATGACAAGAAAGAGAACTGCAGTCTGTGAGCAAAGGCAGAATTTACTCTGACATCAACATTTTGTGTTTCTGTGTTCCTCAGTGGGTCCACCTGGAGCCTGGAGCTCCTGCCCTCCTCTGGGTTCCCCCACCATCTTGGAACACATCTGGGGATGCTAAGAGCACCAGTGGATTCTCAGCCAGATAAGAACTGACCCCCATGAGAAGGAATGGATGTGGGGGTGAGGGAAAGGCAGTTTCTAAGGAGTTGAAACCCAGAAAGGTCAAACAATTATTAAATTATTCCCCAGGATGTTTCAAGGGCAACCAAATCTCATCAGTCTGTAATGCAGAATGGTTGCCAACAGTCATTAGACTCCATGGAAATAGGAGAGGAGCTGCTGATTTGAAACCAGGTCAGGGAGATATGGGTCCCTGATGGAACCAGGAGGAGCTGGGGAGTAGGGTGTCAAGACAGGTTGTTTTCTGCCCTCGAAACCCACAAAAGGTTGTAAATATAACAACAGATGGTTGCAAATGTATAGAGGCACTGAGAAACAGTGGTCCTTGTGTTTCTTGCATCTATATTTTATTTCTATCTCCATTCTTTGGTAGAATAATGAGGGTTCAACATCATAGCTAGCGTTTATTGTACACTTACTATGCCTGCCTTGTGTTTCAGACTGTGCCATTTAACTTTACAACAGTCCTATGAAAGAGGGTGAATTATTTTCCTCCTTTCACAGATGAGGAATTTGATTTCAAGCAAAGGGAGGTTAAGCTATTTGCCCAAGGTAAGAGCTGAGGTCTGACCCCAGCCAGGAGGCTCCAGGGCCTGTCCATTCTACATCTGACTGCCCTTCTGAGACCCTGACCACTGAGGGCTATAGGGCCAGGCAGCCAGAAGGACCTGCTTCACCCATGCATGGACATGGAGAGAACCTGAGCCCTGGATGCTCTGGGGCCTTCATTCCCTGGCCGGCATTTTCCCAGGCCCCTTTGGCAATAAGGTAGACAGATGCCTATAGAGGAAAAAGAGGGAGTGGAAGAGACATCATGGGCCTGGGCCTGTGTACCTTACCTGGAAGGTAGCAAGCAGGCCTTGTGTCAGACCTGGTTTTGACCCACTTCCTAGCTGGTCCCTTAGGCAGTTATTTCACCTCTCTGGGCCTCACTTTGCTGACTTACAATGTGGGGATAATACTGGCTTATATCAAAGGGTTAAAAAGTTAATTAATGTAAAAAGCTTACCACTGTGTATGTCACTTTTTAGGCAGACAATAAATGGTATCTAAAAACAACACTCTTGTGATGAAATTCATATTTAGCTAAATGCCTCGCGTTACCCACATCTAATTGCACAGACTCAAGAACAGTGGGTGTTAGTTATGGAGAAAAGAGTCCCCAGAATGAAGCTGTCATGCCTCATTTCTTTCCAGTGTGTAGGCCTGGGTTATTCCTCCTCTTCTCCCAGAAGAGGCCTAAGGTGGGCTTTGGCCCATTAAGTGACTGTAATTCTTCCCTGCCAGCCCTCCACACACAAGCAGCCCTGTACGTACGTACGTTTAGCCAAGGAGAACTTCTTGAGCAGCTGGGGCATGGCATCTCGAGGGTGGACTTCCACAGTCAGCTGTGTCCCTGCAAGGGAATGGGATGTGATATTCTCAGCCAGATGCTGCTAGGAAAGGGTGTGCGGTGTCCCATGACAGATGTTTGAACAACAAAACACAATCGGTTTTAAGCTTTCTTCTGAATATGCAAATAATTCTTGTTTAAAAAAGTGAAAAACAAAATACAGGCAGCCAGTTTTCAGAGTCAGGCAAGGCGAAATAAGAACATTCTACCTTGTATTTCCCACTGAACACAGCTATAAACCTTGGAAAGAATGCACACAGCAACTATTGAGGACTCTGTAAGGTAGTTCATAGAAGGCAAGTTGGGGAATAAGATTAACATTTAAAGCACCACCATATTTGCAGTGAGTTTACTGTTCCCTTCCCCCTATGGCTTTACTTGGACTGGATTTTCAAAGGCAGCCCCAAACCCAGAAGTGCACATGGGTACAGAGAAACGGTGCTCCAAGAGAAGTCCTTTCTTCCAGCTTATGGAGTAAGAAAGGAAACCTCTGAGAGTCAGAAAGTGTGGGGGAAACCCTCTGTCATACCCCCCTCTTTTTTCTGTTATCTCTCCACCCAGCCCCTAGGGAAGTCTGTTGGTAGCAGTGTAGCAGTGATTTTGTTGGTCAGCCAAAACCTTAAGCGTCTGAGTCTTTGAATGAGGCCACAGAGAAATTATGATTCCCTGGAGTGTAGGGGCCAATACTCATTGTTCTTTCTCTCTCTATGTCTCCCACTGATTGTCTCTAGGTGCAGACAGAGTTGTGAGAAGTGCCTGGCAGAATGGGCAAACTAAAGTCTAGCTTTTGTGCTGGAGAACTGGGAAGTGGAATGTGAAGGGGAGGGAGCTCTAGAAAGCAAATCCATACAGGTATGGATGAACTCTTGTGGTCACCTCTGAGCTGAGCATACATGGATCTCATCCTAAACATCATGCCAGAGTATTTGAGAACTAAACTATGCCAGAATGCCCCCGGGAGGTGAATGTGGTGGGCAGATCTGCATAGCATTGCAAGGGTTACAATCCAAAATTATTCAGCATAGGAAGAACCAGAAATATACTTGAAAGAAAAGATAACCAACAGATGCTAACCCCAGGATGATATAAATTTTGGAATTATCAGACAGACTTTCAAAGAGCCATAGTAAACCATCCTCTAAAAAGTGAAGGCAAATAGTCTTGAAATAAATGGAAAGATACCAAGATTCAGCAAAACATCAGAAGCTATGAAGAAGAAACAAATAGAAATTTTAGAGTTAAAAAATATAATAGTTTGAGAAATTATCTGGATATTCTAAATAGTAGAATGGAGATGACAGAGGAAAGAGTCAGTGAACTCAAAGAAAGATCAATAGAAATTATCCAATATGAACAACAGAGAGAAAACGTGAACAAAACTTCAGGGTTAATACTTAAAGGTCTAACATTCATGTTATTGAGATCCCAGAAGGAGAGGAGAAACAGTGTGGTGCAGAAAAACAAAACAAAACAAAAACACAACTGAAGAAATAATGAGAGAATAATCAATGAAACCAGAAGCTGTTTTCTTTTTTTTTTTTTTTTGGAAAGATCAGCAAAATTGATAAGCCTCTAACCAAACTGTCCAAAAAAAAAAAAGAGAAGTAAGACATAAATCAGGAATAAAGACAACAATACCAGGAATGAAATAGGCAAGACCACTAAAGATCTCATGTATATTAAAAGAATAATAAGGGAATACTACAAACAGTCCTATGCACATAAATTCTACAACTGGCATGAAATGGATCAATTCCTTGAAAGCTACAAACTATCAAAACTCACCCAATGCATAGATAACTTCAATATCCCTATGTCTATTTTAAAAACTAATTGTAGTTCAAAATCTTCCAGAAACAAACAAATTCCAGGTTGACGTCACTAACAAATTCTAACAAACGTTTAAAAAGAAGTATGACCAAACATTTTATAAGATCTCTCAGAAAACAGAAGAGTAGCAAATACTTCATTACCCATTTTATGAGGCCATCATTAATCTGATATCAAAACCAGACAAAGACAGTTTAAGAAAAGAACACTACAAACTGATATTTCTCTTTCTTTTCTTTTTTCCAGACCAATATTTCCTATGAACAAAAAACTCTCAAAAAAAAAAAATTAAATCCAGCAATATAGCAAAAGAATTCTACACCACAATCAAGCACGATTTATTTTGGCAATTCAAGGCTGGTTGATTATTTGAAAACCCATGAATTCATCATATTAGCAGGCCAAAGAAGAAAAACCACATGATCATATCAATTGATACAGAAAATGCATTTGACAAAATTTAACATCTATTCATGATAAAATTTCTCAATAAACTAAGAATAGAAGGCAGTTTTCTGAATCTGAAAAGGGTATTTACCTTTTTAACATATTTAATGGTCAAAATTTTAAGAGTACAATTATTGCAAATTTACTAAATTTACTATTTACTAAACAGCATATTTAATGGTCAAAAAATGCAATGCTTTCCCCCTAACACTGGAAACAAGGCATAGATGTCCACTCTCGCTGCTCCTACTAAATATGCACTGGAGGATCCTGGGTGGCGCAGTGGTTTAGCGCTGGTCTTTGGCCCAGGGCGCGATCCTGGAGACTCGGGATCGAGTCCCACGTCAGGCTCCCAGTGCATGGAGCCTGCATCTCCCTCTGCCTGTGTCTCTGCGTCTCTCTCTCTCTCTCTGTGACTGTCATAAAAATAAATAAATTAAAAAAAATAAATAAATATGCACTGGAAATTCTATCCAGTGAAATAAAACAAAAAAATAAATAAAAGTCCTATAGATTGGAAAGGAAGAAACAAAAATTTCCTTAATCATGATCACACATCTGTCTACATAGGAAGTATCAAGTAATCTACAAAGAAGTTCCTAGAACTAATAAGTAAGTTTAGCATGGTCATAGGATATGAGGTCAGCACCCCAAAATCACTTATATTTATGTTCACAACAAACGACTGGAAATTGAATGTAAAAATTACTATTCACCACAGCTCCAAAAAATTGAAATGCCTAAGTATAAATCTAAAAGATAGTTCAGGAGCCATATGTTGAGAACTACAAAATATTATTAAACAAATTAAGAAGACTTAAATAAGTGGGAAGATATACCATGTTCATGAATTGAAAGTCTCAATATTGTTAAATTGGCAGTTCTCCCTAAATTGATCTATACAGATTGAATGCAACTCTAATCAAACCCCTTGGAAGACATTTAGGCGAGATGATTCTAAAATATAGATGGAAAGATACAGCAACTAGGGTAGTCAAACCAGTTTTGAAAAAAATAAGTTGGAGGACTCTAGCTATCTGATTTTAAGATGTGTTATAAAGCTACAGTCATCAGTGTGATACTGGCAAAGAGACAGATTCATAGATAAATGTAGCATAATAAATAGTTAAGAACTAGAGCTATACAAATATGGCAAATTGATTTCTTATAGATGTGCAAAGACATTCCAATTTAAAAATGGGTAAAAGAACAAATATTCACCAAAGAGAGTACAGATGGCAAATAAGCCATGAAAAGATGTTCAACATGATTAGTCATTAGGAAAATGCAAATTAAAACCACAATGAGGTATCATACCTATTAAAGAGCAATAATCAAAAATAGTGGTAATAGGGCAGCCCGGTGGCTCAGCGGTTTAGCGCTGCCTTCAGCCCAGAGTGTGATCCTGGAGACCTGGGATTCTGTCCCACATCAGCCTCCCTGCATGGAGCCTGCTTCTCCCTCTGCCTGTGTCTCTGCCTTTCTCTCTCTCTCTCATGAATAAATAAATAAAATCTTTTAAAAAATAGCGGTAATACTATATGTTGACAAAGTTGTGGAGAAATCAGATCTCTCATACATTGCTGGTGGGATTATAAAGTACTACAGCAACTCTGGAAAAATAGTTCCACAGTTTCTTATAAAACAAAACCTACACCAAACATATGATCCAACAATTGTACTCTTGAATATTTACCCCAGCGAAATAAACACTTACATTCACACAAAAACCTCTACAGAGGGGCACCGGGGTGGCTCAGTGGTTGAGCATCTGCCTTTGGCTAAGGTCATGATCTCGGAGTCCTGGGATCGAGTCCTGTATTAGGTTCCCCACAGGAAGCCTGCTTCTCCCTCTGTCTATGTCTCTGCCTCTCCCTCTGTGTCTCTCACGAATAAATACATAACATCTTAAAAAAAAAAAAAACCTATCCAGAAATGTTTGTAGAAGCTCTATTCACAATAGCCCCAAACTGGAAACAACCTAAATGTCCTTCAATGGGTGAATGGATAAACGCCCTGTGGTACATTCATATCAAGGAATATTTCTCAGTAATACAAAGAAACTCTTAGGATAGGTGAGAGGATGTAATTACAGAGATTCTGCACAAGAGAATTTTGGGGTGACAGAGCTGCCCTGTATTCTAATTGTAAGGGTGGTTACATGAGCATGTGCTGTGCATGTGTTAAAACCCATAGAACTATATATCAGACAATTCCATTTTAGTAATTTAAAATAAAACAAAAATAAAAATAAGTACCAACTGAGCTTTTTTGCAGAATTAAAACAAGAATCTGGATGATACAGAAAGATACAAAATAGAAAGTCCAAAGCAGGATAATAGTAAACATGTTCTTTGTAACCTGCTTTCTTTTCTTGACTCCTCATACATCAGTGAATTTAGTCCTACGTCATCATTTTAAGTGGGCTGCATAGTACTCCATTCTCTACGTGGTGTATAATCCATATAAGCAACCCTTTTTGGTTGGATAGTTAACTTTTCCCAAATGTTTTGTTATTATAATCAGTGATGCATGAACATTCTGATACATATCTCTTTACACACTTTTCCTTTGAATGAATTCTCAAATATGGATCAAAGGTTATGGAGAAGGCCTTTGTTATATATTGGCAAACTTCCCATGAATGATTTTTATCGGTCGATGACCACACCAACAACATGAGAGGATGTCCATTTTGCTCATTCTTGCTGGGTTTGATTGCAAAA